TCTTACTGTCGATTACGTGCTCTAGGCAGAAGTTCAAAATCATAAATCAAGGCAAGGGCAAGGTGATGCTATCATTTCGGACGGGTTTTCGGGTTTTCAAGACCCCTGCAATATACAGTCTAGGTTTAGTTGTTATTGATATAATTTTACCAAGTGGTGCAGGTGCATTCGTGGTGAGCTCACTCTAACTTACCACACAGCCATACCATTCCATACTTGATTGGCACACTGAGCTGGTGTAGGATAGATCGGAGAGGTTCGATTGCAGATTGAGGATGAGTGCGTTGCAAAGCGCCGCAGATTACTGAGGAGCATCTTTGTCTAGAGGAGCAGCAGGGGTTGGTGGGTCCGCCATAAGAGCTTCTGTTGGTGCGTTTGTTTGAGGCGCATCTCGGCCCGAGTCGATGGGCTGTGTGATGAAAATTGGGGGCCTGGGAGTTTCCGGAACTGCAGGCACGAGAACGGCAGGTTGTTGGGCTTGCACGGCCGAGCCATCATCACTGTCACTGCCATCTGAGTTGCTGCCGTTCTCCGAGTCTTCGCTGTCACTGTCGTCTTCGTTGTTGCTATCATCACTGTCGTCCAAGGAATCATCGCCACCATCACTGCTGTCGCTCTCTCCCATTCCTGAATTCATCGCAGAACCATCATTGCTATCATCACTATCACTACGGACCAGGATGTTCTTTCCCACACTCCGGGACGAGACATTGATCACAAGGGCGCACAAGCAACCCAACAAGGCCAACACAATCCGCAGAGCATGCCAATATTAAATAGGCCAACATATGAATACCGAAGGCGGTTACATGGACAGAAGGCGACATTGGTCGAGAAAAGATGGGCCTATTCTCTTCCTCAAGTAAGACGCTCTGCAACCACGGAGGCAGACCAGTACATTGTATTACTACCCGTACATTGTATTAGTATTATCAAGAGTACGTGAAATGGTTTTGGTATTATACCTTTATCGGTTTGACCCTGTGTACCGAGTATCATACTTGCTCTGCCAAGAGCAGGCATTATCGCTGGCCGAAACACCTACATTGACTTTCGTCTCCGACGTGTCGCGGCTCTTGACTGCTTTGATAAGATATGAAAATCAAGAGCGCTTCACCGGTGGACACTCGGGGACACGACAGCGAGAAGGACTCCATGTCACCACCTAATGCGAGGATTTCTCGATCTCGGTTGATCTCTATGTCCATGACAGCGCACACAAATCCACCTCCATTTCCAGCAGTCGGTGGTGCATAGCTGCTAAAGCGACATTTCTGAACATGTCAGTTAGCGAAGACTGTGTCATAGATTACTGTGTGTCTCTGACCCTTTCACCCGCACGGAAACCCTCTTGCCGATAGACTTGAACTGAACTTCGCGTAAAAAATGATTGTGGTTAAGTAACGCAGATAATTAGCTTTAACGCCCACAACAACGTGGGTGCATTTAGTGTACTACGTCCAGTTCACTCTAGACTTCAGCATGGTTTTGCTGCTGTGCCTATGGTGGTGTTCATGTGTTATGCTTTGGTCAGCTGTATTTACCGGCTGTACATCGACTTGCACAGTTCGCTGCACGTCTCAGAAGATAGCACGGCTGACATACATGTAATGTACATACCCCGATGACGAGGAGAAAAGCAAGCAGCTAGCTAGCAGATGCTACACTGCTGATATTATGGTCATAAGGTGTCGTCCAACGATAAGGATTTCTTTGATTCGTTACTCAGAGGGTGAAAGATGCCACAAGGAAATGTGTTTGAACTTCGTGCGTTTCACCTCCGTACCAACAAAGGCCATCTAGCAGATGGAGACAAAAGTAAATGCACATACGCCGTGATCATGTTGTGTCCGTTCATGAATGTCCCACTAATTCCACACCTTGCCCAGTCTAAACGTTACGTACAATCATGGTCCAAGTTTACGCATGACTGAATTCCCATGGTGGCACATGATGTATACAAGCCGGGACAATTCCAATACATGCAGTTCAATCATTGTAACAACGAATATTCAGTGTTGACCGGCTTCAGCATGTGACGATGTCCCCATAACGTTACAAATGCGTGTATATCTAAAATTAATGCTTGTATATCTAATATTAATATATCTAAAATTAATGCGTGTATATCTAAAATTAATGCGTGTAGATCTACACTATTGCCATTGTACTTGGACTGGAACACGATGTTTCACACGGCATGCATGGGGATTGCCCCCTCCCCCACCCAACCGAAATCATAACCCAACGCTATGATTACTTAAAAAAGGCATGATGATACATTTCGCTCAAAAGATACAAATCATGGCAAAACCCAGGATAGTGAAAAATATGGTTTTTAGGAAGAAAGGGAGATGTCCTTTCCAGACGTGTACAGTACATACATACATGGCACATACATAATTATACACCTATTCCTTGTCTTCTACCTTATCTCTTCGCTACTGAAGTACTGTTGATTTGTATCGGAGTTACAGCTTTTTTCATGTACTTTAAAGGGGAAGTTAAGGCAAAAATTAAAATTTCACCAGTTGTAGTCTTCTGGGTGCTGAGTCGAATGGTCTTGGTCCGAGGAAGCTGAGACGCTCCCTTCCTACTTGAATCCCAATCGAACTCGCGCACTTCCACCGAAACTGGGTGACTGCGCCCTACGAGATGGGGATTTGTATGCAAAATGTCACTAAAAGCGCCATTTCGTTCTTATAAAAGCACGGATGACCGCGATTGGCCCATATGTTGTAGTCTTTTGGACGCTGAGTCGACTGGTTTTGGTCCGAAAAGGCTGCGATGTAGCGTTCCTCCTTTATTCCCAATCGAACATGGTTGAACAAGCGGTCACGTGCTCCTGCGTACACCAGTCACCTGGTCACCGTGCCTGCAGGGTACAACTTACTAGCCTGTTTGACCTTTTTTGGATGCACTCCTGTCACTCGAGTTGAACTCGAGTTGAACCTTGGTGTGAAATTTGTCGCCTGCTGGCGTGGTGACCAGGTGATTTGAGCACCCAGGAGCACGTGACCGCTTGTTCAATCATGTTCGATTGGGAATAAAGGAGGAACGCTGCATCGCAGCCTTTTCGGACCAAAACCAGTCGACTCAGCGTCCAAAAGACTACAACATATGGGCCAATCGCGGTCATCCGTGCTTTTATAAGAACGAAATGGCGCTTTTAGTGACATTTTGCATACAAATCCCCATCTCGTAGGGCGCAGTCACCCAGTTTCGGTGGAAGTGCGCGAGTTCGATTGGGATTCAAGTAGGAAGGGAGCGTCTCAGCTTCCTCGGACCAAGACCATTCGACTCAGCACCCCGAAGACTACAACTGGTGAAATTTTAATTTTTGCCTTAAAGGGGAAGTTAAGGCAAAAATTAAAATTTCACCAGTTGTAGTCTTCGGGGTGCTGAGTCGAATGGTCTTGGTCCGAGAAAGCTGAGACGCTCCCTTCCTACTTGAATCCCAATCGAACTCGCGCACTTCCACCGAAACTGGGTGACTGCGCCCTACTAGATGGGGATTTGTATGCAAAATGTCACTAAAAGCGCCGTTTCGTTCTTATAAAAGCACGGATGACCGCGATTGGCCCATATGTTGTAGTCTTTTGGACGCTGAGTCGACTGGTTTTGGTCCGAAAAGGCTGCGATGCAGCGTTCCTCCTTTATTCCCAATCGAACATGGTTGAACAAGTGGTCACGTGCTCCTGGGTGCCCAGATCATCTGGTCACCACGCCAGCAGGCGACAACTTTCACACCAAGGTTCAACTCGAGTTCAACTCGAGTGACAGGACTGTACCCAAAAAAGGTCAAACAGGCTAGTAAGTTGTACCCTGCAGGCACGGTGACCAGCTGACTGGTGTACGCAGGAGCACGTGACCGCTTGTTCAACCATGTTCGATTGGGAATAAAGGAGGAACGCTGCATCGCAGCCTTTTCGGACCAAAACCAGTCGACTCAGCGTCCAAAAGACTACAACATATGGGCCAATCGCGGTCATCCGTGCTTTTATAAGAACGAAACGGCGCTTTTAGTGACATTTTGCATACAAATCCCCATCTAGTAGGGCGCAGTCATCCAGTTTCGGTGGAAGTGCGCGAGTTCGATTGGGATTCAAGTAGGAAGGGAGCGTCTCAGCTTTCTCGGACCAAGACCATTCGACTCAGCACCCCGAAGACTACCCCTTTAACTTCCCCTTTAATAGTTGAAATTAAGTACATGTACAAGTACATGTATTATAGGACTTCCTGTCCTCTGCTGTGTGTTTCTTTCTACACATCGATGATTGAGCACAGCCTCAACTGGTCCATTGTTTACTGTCTGTCTACCTTTTTCATAGGCTAGATTGTGATGTGTGCAGCAACAGGGAGCACTCATATGGCCCATCTCCAACTTCCCACATTAGTCTCCCGGCAACTCTTACGACAGGTTACTCTTGCCCACAACATCAAGTACATCCGCGCTCCCCTTCACCTGCAACAGCCTCACCTTGCACGACCAATTACAGAGCAGCCATATGCACTACGACGCATGAGAACATACGCATTGAGAACATCACACACATACCGACACACCAACTCACCCATCAACCTGTCCCCGAAGGCTTCACAATTTCAACCAACTACCCCCCCCCCCCCCGACCTGCGTGAAACAAATAGCAAGCATGCGTTTAAATCAATGGCGTCTAGCCTCATTCTATCATTCATATGCTCCTGTAGTAGCTCACTGTACCCCATTCTCCTGCAATGTGTTGGTTTCCTTACTTGCTAGGCTGATTTTATAATGATTCTGGACTGATTTGAATCATATTTTCTTCCTTTAATATTGGCCATGGGCCATCGTGGAAATAAAGAATAATAACGACCCTCGGCCTGCGTTCAGTGCGTTGCCTTTAGAAATACAGCGCAGTACATACAGACGTAATCATGCTTCTGCCCCCCCCCCCCCCCCCACCCCCCACAAAGCAAAGTGCAAATTGGCCAGGAATCTAGGCCAGGACTGTATCGAATTTGCTCAGAGTAGCAAAAACAGACATAATCGTATTCAATGAAACACATCGCCATACATATCAGATCTACAAAAGTGAGGAAATGCAGGAAGGTAAATGTTGAGAATGAAATAGTCATGATTTGTACAAGTGCTAAAGTCGCGCTAAGGTCACCAAACGAAAAAACGAGACCGCACCGTCTACAAATGCAGGCAGTTCTCTAATGGAGTGGCCGGGGGAGAGTGAGCAACGGTAGGAATTATTTCAACATCTGCGCATAGTTTGCTAAATACAGCGAGGAGTCTGTTTCATGAAAAGCTTACATACAAGAGACTGAAGGCACACCTGTGCATGTGCCTCTGTACTGTGAAGAGAATTTTAAAATATGAAAATATGTTACTTTCATGAGGCAACAAAGCGGTGATACGGTAGGAAAGGTAAAACAAAGATGACTGCAACGCGGACACAGCAATAATAAGCAACGAAATAGAGGGGAGAGCAGATAGCAGCATCAGCACAGCAGGGTAGCAGCAGTCAGCAGTTTGGCATGAAAGGGGTGCGGGTAGACTATAATATGTACATGGACAGGTGACAGTGAGACAATGCAAACGGTGCAAACGACACGCAGCTCAGAACATCTTTTTGTGAATGGCGTTGGGTCCTTCTTCATCGTACGTCTTCTTCGATAGCCACATTCTCTTGAAGGCATCAAGTGATGCCAGGATAGAACCACTGCAAGAGCAAGCAGACAAACAGCAAGACAAAGATTAGACCTTACCAGAAGCTCAAATAGCACACGGGTAAAGCAAGAAGGGTAAAGTAGCAGCACTCGTGTCAACGTTGGTCGGAGAGCGAGCAGGGTGTAGTGGGTCGAAGTGGAATAAAGACATTTTATATTCATCATCCGGGAAACAGACACAAGTACACAATGGCGGGGGAAATTCTCCAACTTGTTCTGTTGTAGTTACCCCGAGTTTCATGGCAATAGGGACAATCATCAGACACCACAGTGGATGCAGACTGGAGTGACCAGGATCAAATATAATGGGGGGGGGGGGGTGTACCAGAAACATCGAGGAAACAGTGTGTGAGAAAAGCAATTTGTAAGGCAGTTTTGAGGGAAAGAGAGAGAAAGAAAGAGACAGAGAGAAAGAGAGAGAGAGAAAGAAAGAGAGAGAGAGAGAGAGAAAGAGAGAGAGAGAGAGAGAGAGAGAGAGAAGTCAAGAAGCACCGAGAAATACAATGTGGATTGAGCATGGAAACACATACCCAATCCAGGTCGAGTAGAGACGCTCTGGAGGTGCGGATATCTGAAACAACAAGCACAAATTGACAAAATAACGCAACCGTGGTGCTATTCTGGCCTTCTCCGACAACCTCTAGTGGCACGACCAACAACAAGGGGCAAGCAAAACTTCCTAAGCTGGTTGTATGTCTCAACACAATTACGTAGCCAGCAGCAAAGTGGATAAATGAACTTTACTCTTTTTACATGCATAATTGTGCGTTTGACTGCAACACCACACAGCACCTCCAGGTAACTCCATGTCTGCGTGTACATTGGTCACACGTGCATGAAATAAAACGCATGTGTTAAGTACCCTCTTCCGTCTCCTTGTGCATCCTTTTCCTGCTGGCCTGCTTTGGTGCCCAAACGCGGAGCTCGAACCCACGGCCCCGAGATAAAGAGTCTCATGCTCTACCCACTGAGTTAGCCAACACATGAATGTCTTAGTGATTCTGCTAGAGCACTATGTACATGATTATGTCAATAAATGCCGCTACACAACCATGTGCACAAAACTGATCATACTCCGTGAACTGACAGCTTACCCTAATCTTGATGTCACGTGGAGCAAGCTTCTTCACTTCGGTCAGAAGACGTGCACCAAAGCCTACAAAAAATACATGTACAGTACTCGTTAAACAGTCATCATTCGCCAGAACATGCACAATACAAATCATTATGCTATGAAGGAAATTGCCGAACGTTGCAGTTGTTCCCGACATCTCACCGTCAAAGAGCGTTGATCCACCAGACAGTACGATGTTCAGGTAAAGAGTCTTGCGCAAATCCATGTCTGATCGCATGATGGAGTAGTTCAAAACCTACAACAAGAACAATAGTCATGGAACAAACAGATCACCAGATAGACACCTCAAGCAATGACACGCATGACAGAATACTAGAATAACAATTGCACCATGACTCCTGAATATGGGAACTACAGTGCAGTAGACCCCACCCCATACACCCACCCATACACCCCCCCCCCCCCCATACACCCACCCATACACCCCCCTCTCCCCCCCCCCCACCCCATACGCCCACCCATACTACCGTAAAGTACCGTTGATCTGCCCCCACCCTACAGTCCGTTTCAAAAAGATTTACAACCCTGGCGATCGCCCGCGGAGTTTGGCGTCTTACCGTATGAGCACTCGAGCGCTGCCTGGAAAAACTCACTGTGAACTCGAAGAAATATTCCGCGCGAAAGCAGGAAAAATGACAACTCACTCACGTTGACACAGTCATGGACGTACGTCTGGTTTGCAACAAACGAGTTCTTCCTCGTATCGATAATGGAGTCAGACAGGACATGTCGAAACGAAAGTGTTGACGAGCGGCATGTGTCCCAATCCGTTTTGTGACCAAAATAGTTTCTTTGAGCTGCGATGCAATTTACTCACCGTGTGACGAAAACGACATCGACACGGACTCATTCCCAAGGCCATGACTTGGCAAAGCTAGCCGTGTGACTTCGACGACATTTTGGGAAAAACAGACGCTTGTGAACGCTGATAGAAGACGGCGTTGACTGCTAAATTCAAATAAATTGGCGATCTTGAAATACTAAAAATAAATCTCAAAAAGCTACAGCGCGATGACTTCCATATTCACTCACACCATTGCAGTGTTGTGGGTGTGTTCACATGGCGTGAGCCAGTCAAGTGTCAGTCAGTTCGGCAGGAAGCGCGACCTCCAACAACAAGTCGTTTGGTGCAGACATCTTCTTTGTCTTGTACCAGCTTGATCACCAAAACAATGAAAAAAAGTTTGACTTGAGGATAGATTGGGATTTGAACTCACAACTTCATGGTCAGCAGACAGCATTCATAACCACAAGGCCAAAAAGGAAAGGATAAATCGTGGGTTTTGATAAAAAATCGATACTGGCTTCCTGGGCAAATTGTAAACCATGGGAAAAGGCCGGAAACCTGGCCGAAATTCTAACTCCTTAACGGTTGGTCCAATTGTTCCGAAACCTTCACAGAACAATTTGCCGTGTCCTAACAAGCCATTCTATGTACTTTGTTGTCCAAATTTCCCTTATCTTCATACTTTTTAAGACCCAAACCTGATTGTAAATCTTTTTGAAACAGACTATAATCCCCCCCCCCCCCCCCCCCCGTCAGATTTCTGCCTGTGAAGCGACGTCGGCGTATACAATGGAATACGATGTTGAACCGACGCATGTATTACTGTACACAATACTATGTGCGAGTGCAGAACGTAAATGTGCACAATCCAGCATGCCAAGTTCGATCTTCTGCTTTGTTGTACATAATACTGCACTTGAGCGACTTGATCTAAGTCTCGCCCCCTGCCGAAAAACCAGCTGGGAAGCGACACGGCGTGGGGGATCAATGTGACGGTACTGGCATTCATGCATGTACTATTCTCAGTCCAAACACTCACACATAGCCTGTCTGCTTCAACAGTCACATCAGGTTCACCCGATGCGAACCTTTAAATGGCTGCAATCAGGGAGTAGTAAAATACAGGGAGGTGACACGAGCATGTACGGCCAGTTTGACGATTGCCTCAGCACCGTTTTCACCCGGCGGGTGAGATTGGGGTACTATGGGTACCGAAGTGTGTAGACACGCGCGCGGATCAGGATTCTCTCGATCAGGGAGTAGTAAAATACCTACCCCCAAAGAGACTCCTACTGCAGCCCGTAGAAACTCAGCGCTGAGAATTTCCAACAATTGTCTGCCTTCACAAAGTTTGGTTGTCGACCAAACTACCACTATGTCAGGATAGAAGTCCAGCAAGAGTGGTATCACTTTGGGAGATATCCCTGCGTGCCGTAGATTTTTCCTGTGTCGATACAAGCTGTTTACGACGACGTAGCCCGCATTTCAATCCTTGACAAACTTAGGAACATTTCATTCCGAAAAGTGAACTCCCGAATCTCTAGCATACCATAATATGAAATGCTCATCATCACAAAGAAGGTAGAGAAGTACTGGTTGATCACAACTGAGGAGAAATTAGTGCCGATCGTGTGGTGTCCTAGAGATTTTTTCGACTTCGAAATCGGTGCACTCGCTTTTCATCTCCAATCGTACACGTATTGTTCTCAAGGAAATCACCTTCGTTCTATTGCTCCATGCCGTCGATCGGGACGAATTTCGGAAGGGTGGTACCTTTCCATATGACGATGACACAGATGTATCACAAGAGCAAAACAAATGCTGTTCCATGAGATGGATAGACCTTTTCACGGAATTAGTTCTTCGACAAATACTCAAGATTGATTCAGCAGATCATCTTTTTTTGCGAAAGAAAAAAAAACAAGCGCGAGGCACCCATCAAAAATCACGATTAGAGAGGTTCTGCACAACGAAAGTTCGAACGAAGTTTCGCGACAGGCCTTGCGAAAGTGTGTACGAATTTTCGCACGCACTTTGTGTTCTGCACATTTTCGTAGTTTGCACGCGCCAAGTGCACGTACGACATGACCCAATCTCACGAAACTTCCTACGAAAGTTCATTTCGCGTTCCCTGCAAGTTTCGCGTCCAAAGTTAGGAAAGTTCGTGCGAAGTTTCTCACTTCGTGACGTAGAGCGAAAGTTCGTACACATTTTCGTTTTGCAGAACCTCTCTATTAGTGGCGTGTCACCTCCCTGTATTTTACTACTCCCTGGCTGCAATGGAGTTCGCGGGTTGGCAGTACCTCCCCCCCCCCCCCCCCCCCCCCCCCGTTACACGTACCTGATGAAGTCCTTCACATTCTTCACCGATCAGGTCTGGCTTGAAAAGCACCTCTGCTGCTCGGAACCGGGCGTGTCCAAGCTGCGCATTCACAAACACATAGATGCACAAACACACGGATGCACAGACACACGGATGAGAAAAAACAAGGTGAGGAGAACACACATGCACACATGCATTGAGAAAACTGCAAATGTGAATACCGGGCATGGCTGTGCAGGCAGTGCATGCAGCACCTGCTAGCTGTACAGTCAACACACAACCCTGCTAGCTGTACAGTCAACACACAACCCTGCTAGCTGTACAGTCAACACACAACCCTACTAGCTGTACAGTCAACACACAGCCCTGCTAGCAGTACAGTCAACACACAACCCTACTAGCAGTACAGTCAACACACAGCCCTGCTAGCAGTACAGTCAACACACAGCCCTGCTAGCTGTACAGTGAAAGAACACAACTCAACACCATGTCTTACTCTCAAAGCTGCCATGGAAAATCCAGAACAAAGACAGGAGCAGTGCACACTTAGAGCTATTGGATTGCACAAAAGCAGAGCAACTCACATCAATACGGCTGCCGTCCGGTAGTAAGAAGCTGCTTTTCTCGGCATCGATAGCCATAGACTCCTGGGCAGCACAAGCACACAGACGCACACCCAAGACAGAGACAAAGTCAGCAGGCACTCACTGAGTGACTCTGTCTCAAAGCATTGAACACGTCAAAAGGATATTTCATTCACCTTCCAGTCAATGCAATATCCGACCTCAGCATACACTGCCAGTACAATAACATAACTACATCCTGGAGAGCAGAGCCAGTCAACACCAAAAGAATACATGTACTCAAGTACTCGCAGAGATTCACCTACCTCTTTCAAAGGATTAGGTGCAATATAACACGATCGCTGTGTACAGGACGCAAGAGAAGAGCAACAACAAAACAAAAACATTACATGGTTTTAAGTAGGTCAGTGAGAACATTGTTCACGGAAAATCAAATTGGACAGATCTAAAATCTACCTGCAGTCATTGCTGGTTTCATCCTAGAGTTTGTATTCTATGAATCACATAGTGTGTGTGTGTGTACTACCGTATTTCCCCGTAAGTTAGTACGTACTAACTTTCGAACTTAGCAGCCACATGAGTACTAACTTTCGGGGGTGGTACTATCTTTCGGGGAGTACTTTTTTATCGGGGGTAAATGACACGCAGTGGGAAGCCTGCGCAACTCTAGTGTGCGTGCATATGATGTATGTACTGTACGGTGTCTGGACATGTAGAACGGGTACGAACTTACTATCTTTCGGGGGGGGGGGGGGGGGAACTGTCTTTCGGGGTGATAACCTCGGCAGTGGAAAGTGTATTTTTTATAGGGGGTACTAAGTCATTGGGGAGAACTAACTTACGGGGAAATACGTAGTCTATTACCAAACTCCTAGCCGACAGGATCACATTACCTGGTTGAACGACTATAAATAAAAGCACAACAAACAAACCAAACGGTACATTGCAATCATTACCTCTTTGATTTGCCGCACAATCTGAAACTCGGCTGATGTGCGGAAGTTGTACCCTTCTCTCCGCAGCAGAAACTTGAGGTAGCGAGTTACATCTCTGCATGGAGATGCACGCATATTCACAGCACACAATGGTATATAATATACATGTACATACACAGGGAAGGCTTGAAGGGCCGGGTTCCACTGCGGCTCCGCGGCACGTACATTTTTGGGTTTTACCATGGTAACCGCGACTCTAAGCGAGTGCCGCGGAGTGACGGCCTGCCACGGGCTTTCGCGTTGCGTTTTGTAGTGTGGTGGCTCGCCGCGATCGCGGCTTGCATTGTTCATGATCACGTGAACTGGGAAATGCTGGCGGGAAACTTGAAATCTGCTTTGAAGAAGCAAGACCGGACGACGAACAACAAGATCTGTTGTGTCTTTCACTCGTTTTTGTCAGTTTCAACTTTGTCAGTGTTTCTCTTCCTTCCGTGTGCGATGGGTTTCAACTGGTCAAAAGATTTGGAGCGGTTGTTGTTGTCAGCAGCCGGTTCCAGAAGCAGATGAAGACTGCCAAGGAAAAGAGAGAGTGACGAAGGAAAAAATGGTGGAAATGAAGAGAGATGGCAAACTTCTGGCGAGTCACGGAGAAAATGATGTGGAGGACTTGACTGATGACGTTGTGAAGAATAAGATTGACGGACTCAAGAAGCTAGGCAAGAAGATGATGGAGAGTTGGATTGTTCCTATCCTGAAAAGGAACAAAAAGAAGCCCCCTACTGGATCAGGAGTGGATGACGACGATCAGCAACTTGATGGCAATGCGATTGAGGGTCAATTGGGGAGAAATTGAAAATAAGTGCAAGTGCAAGTGGCATCTCGTCAGGTTATATTTTGAACTGTTCGGTGATCACCCCACCTGGGGCTGTGCACTTGGAGGAGCTGTCGACACAGCTACTGTTGTTTTTGAGGAGTCGCAGGGTGCTACCAAGCCGGTGGTTGCAGCTCCAGTTGGTGAGACCAACTCCACGTCCAGCACATCCTCTGAGGATGATGGCGCAGCACAACTACGTACAAAACGAAAGCGTGCACAATATGGACGGCAGTGGTTTTCCCCACTCCGTACAGCAATGCAAGCTGGGCATAGGAGGGAGCATGGGCAAACCAATGCAGTGTAATTGCAAGACGTTTGCTCGACGACACACTCTTCCTCATGTGCGTGTCCTGCCTGGTCAGAGAGTTCCCCACAAGAGCGTGGAGTCTCCAAAACGCCTCGCGTCCCATGCGAAAGTTGTGTTTGTACTGGCCCTCCTCCCAATCAGCAAATCAACGTGCAGTCATTGTTGGCACGTCCTCGTCTCCAAAAATCCTTGAACATAGGCATGCTCAGCAGTGCCATCCACAAAAAGCTAGTGTCAGGGATCGAGTGGGTTTTGCGCATGCTGCTGCAAGCTACAAGTTCTGCTTCGTCGCTTCGACCTTTCAAAATAATCTCTGTGAATAGAGCAAGAGCTTGAAACGACAGCATGACAGCAAGAACCTTTTTCTCCTAGGCCAACACGCCATTGTGACAGTCACAGCAACACCAGCAACACCAAAAACTACAATCCTGAAGAAAACAACACTACAAAGAAGCTCGAACAAACTGCAAGAACAAGCTGTGGGTAAAGTTTGGAGTTCGAACGTTCGCGCCAAAAATGATCACGCGACTGCGTCATGCATGGTTTCCATGACCACCTGGCCAGAACTTCGAGCCGCATGCCGCGGAACCTCGCGTGACGATTGTAGTGTGGAACCGAGCGGCTTCGCGTCAGCATGTGTTTCTGGCTCACGCAACGCGGACGCGAGCCGCAGTGGAGCCCGGCCCTAAGCATCACCTCCCGTATAGCATATCTTATCTGCTAGGGGTTCTCGGAGCTGCGTGACCTCATTCAAAACACGATTTTTTATTCCCTAAAACCGGGCGCAGAAAAACCGCTAAAATAGGGCACTTCTACATATATACTATAAAGAAGAGGCACCTGTGACGTGTGTTTGTCTGTGTGTTACGCAGAAGCGCTGCGGAGCAGCGCTGCCCTGAGCACGCGAAGCGTGCGAACAGTGTAGCTAGCGGCCGCAGAAGCACTGAGCACGCGAAGCGTGCGAATCGTGTAGCTAGCGAAAGCAGCCACAGAAGCACTGAGCACGCGAAGCGCGCGAATCGTGTAGCCACCACCACGTGCTGAGCACGTGTGCTGTTCATGTACTTGCTTCACCCGCATGCCACGTTCGGCCAGGCAACGCTGGCCGGGTGCTGCTAGTACAGTATAATACCAAGAGTCCATAATCCCCCAGAGTGAGCAATTAACGCGCAACTTCACTGATCAGATCTGGGATGGCGAAATCCGTGTTGCACGTCATAGTGTGACATCATGAGTAGGGGAAGTGTGTTTGTGGTTCAATTCTTTCATATCGTGAATACAATAAGACAATTGAAAATGACCAATTTCTGCAGTGATCGACCTTCTCTGTGGTGGAGCTAAGCCTTTCATACGTCATCACTGCGCTGGTCGCTATGGCAGCGTGAGTATACAATTGGTGATTTGGCAAGTTTGGCTTATCGTATCGAAGCGAGAGATATGCCATTCGAACCGATATCAAATTGTCTTTCTTCTGGAGCCTACTCGAAAAATCGATGCACTTCCCCTTGAAGCATGTTAGGATAAGAATGGCCTTGGATACTAAGCACATTTTCCTGCTGTCCATGTGGGGTACACGTCTGATCAGAGTTCCACTGTATGTACTACCGATGTGCTCACTTAGTGTACAGTGGATCACTGAGTGAGCTTGACAGCATGCTAACACAATACTAACACAGTCCCAAAGCCCAGGTAGCAACGGTCAGGCTAATAACACTGATTTTCTTCACTGGTCGGAAAGCACAATACGCAATGCTCACCTTCCGGCCACATCGACACGCATGATTGAGTGCGGCATGGCAAATCCCTCGTAGATTGGCACTGCATGTGTTACACCATCCCCGGAGTCTAGCACAACACCCGTTGTACGACCCGTAGCATACCTGTGCAATATAGCAGCATTGTGAACAACAAGAGTAGAATCAAAAAATTAATAGCATTAGAAGCAGTAATAGCAGGACCAGCATCTGTATTATTAACAGCAGCATCTGTAGCATCAGCATCCACAGCAGCACAAGTTGCATGAGCAATGCCAATAGACAGCAGACAAGGATGGGACACGTCGGCACCCTACAAACAACCATGCCGTAGATTTTGAACACCCCTCCCCCATACACATATACATACACACCTCAGACCTCAGACCTGCCCATCGCGGAAGCGATGATAGCGAACAGCTATGTTAGACATATCAACTTGTGCTGGGATTGCACCATTCAACAGCTTGCACCTGGTATCCACCACATAGCTGATTGAAGTACACACATACATGCACACATCCACGCACGTACACACCCATATACACGTACCTGCAGACACACACACACACACACACACACACACACACACACACACACACACACACACACACACACACACACACACACGCGTACACACATTATCTAAACAGCCCTCCCCTAGCAAACCAAGAGAGAAAGCCACTGATGGCTATAGGGAATAGCACATTGGATACTTACAGGCTGAGCACTGCTTGCATGCTGACAAACAATGCCGGTACGTTAAACGTTTCAAAGAAGATCTGTACACATGGATCAGACACGAAAAATAGCAATGGACTCCTGGTACCATTTGCAGATGTATGTGATGGGTAAAGAAGCTATAATTAGCAGCACAAGCCCTATCAAGCTGCACTTGTCTCATTCAAATGCATTTGTACCACTTCCATGCCACTACTGCACTGCTATGGAATAGAAAGAAAGGCGACCCCACCTCTGCTGACTTTTCACGGTTGCGGCGAGGGTTCAACGGTGCCTCTGTCAGCAGAATCGGATGCTGTGAACACAAGGACAGAAGAAACGATAACATGTGTCAAGGCTGAAGCGTCCATGTTGCACACAGAGAGGAAGAGAGTCATCAAGTCTCAAGTAAATTCAAAACTAAAAACAATAAAAACATAATGGCATGTACTAGTGCAGTCTCCACCCTGGGTGCAAGAAAACAAATGGCATAAGTCGGAAACAGGCATATCACCACGCGGCCTACCTCCTCTGCAAACGTGTCCAACTGAGGCTTTGAGAATATGTACTACACAAGGACAAAAAGAACATATACAAGGAAAAAACTTGATGTTGATCATGCACAGAGTTTGAGCTTGGCCAGTTCGACGTGATACATGTACCGGCAACAGTCGAGCCAATTAGGAGGTGTAAGCTTGCCAGGGAAACATCAAGAATCATTCAAAATACATAAAAATGTTTTCATTTATTTGAGCAAAAACAGCATTCAACCCTCACTATGCGACATCAAACTGCGATACAACATACTAGTAGCTGCAGAGGCAAATGACAAGTTTTATTGAAACGGAACTTCTTCGTATGGTCTGCACAGCGCATGTGAACGGAACAGTACTTCAATCTACAACCTAGCAGCTGTCCAAATGTCCATAACATCGAAGCATGATTCACATTATCACTTTTACAGATGCGACCTGCAGCACGAGACACTCGCGACAAGGCAATACCTGTCACACACTGTCGCAAGAAATCGCACGGCCAAATCCCACAGAAGTTTACCTACTGTAGTGGCGCGTATAAAAGCATGACTCGAATAGAAGCCGATTTTTCGAAGAGCACCGTGACACAGAAGCACGATTCGAATAGAAGCATACGTGCTGTACATACATGTATGTGCACACTACATGCAGGACAGTGTGCAGTGTACAGTGTAGACTGAAGATATTGACGTAGAAGCATGTTTGGAATAGAAGCATGGTTTGAACCCCGGCTTATACGGCCGTAAGCACCTGCTTTTATACGGGACATTACGGTAAGTTCAACTACTGCGATGCGAGAAGCACGACATACATGTACATCAATGGAGTACAGTTCACTAGGCTGGGTACACGTGCATGTACTATGCACCGCATTCAAACGTCACAGAGACCAAAACAGATTGTGAATCGTGTGTCGCGGTTGCAGCTCGTAGCAGGTGTCGTATGCCGCACATCGCATCACAGCATGTGGTATTCTGAATCATGCTTCAATCCATAGCGATGTTCTTCTCCAAAAGAAGACGACTTGTACCATTAGCCAAGATAGTCAAAGAGTGCGCACAGGATGGTCGGTTCTCATCCCTAGGTGAGCCTTCCTACATTGTGGTGCACGCAGGTTTGGGTAAAGAATGCAATCTAACCTGCCAAACTTGCTCCATGTCGTTCCAGTTGGTGACAATGCCATGCTGTGAGGAAACAAGCGGCATGACAAGAACACAACCTTCAGTAGATCAGACAGGCACACTACACTACACTCTAGTCTATTACACCAACATTGCACGTCACACACGGTATACAAACGGACACCAAAGCACATTACACAAATTGATAATTTGTTATAGCCTCAACTGCATCAGTATCAGTTGAAATGTTGAACAAACAGTCGATGTAAAGTCTTTGCTTGGGCTGGCTATCAGCATACCAAGTCAACTGTGGTAGACGCACAACTCACAAAGTAAGTCAAACAAGACACCATCAGCCCAGGGGGCGTACAGCTGTACACTCTCGTGTCCCCTAAGCTGCATCCTTGTTACCCACATACCAAGCAAGTGAACACCAATTCGATCGTTGGTGTTGGCACAGCTTGTCGTGTGTACCGTAAAGTACTGTTCATCCCCCCTCCCACACCATGTCGTTTCCCAGCTGGTTTTTCGGCAGGGGGCGGGAAATAGATCAAGTCGGTCAAGTGCGGGATGATATACAACAGAGCAGAGGATCAGGCTTGGCATGCTGGATTGTGCACATTTTCACCCTGCACTGGCACGTATTTTGTGTACAGCAGTGCATGCGTCGGTTCAACACCGTATTTCACTGTACACGCTGAAGTCGCTTCACAGGCACAAATTCGACAAGGGGCGGATCAACAGTACTTTACGGCACACGTGCACGGGTCCACACTTGCATCACTGTCACAGTAGCTGTAGCACTAGACACAATCGCGCTCACATGTACCAGCCCAGGTCTCAAATTTGGAACCCTACAACTTACCCGCAAGCAAGGACATCAACCATTCAGCCATACGCATGGGTCTGTCTACAATAGGGATTGCACGCTAATCCAGCAACATCTAAACTGCGTTCAAACTTCCCTAGTCCTAATGCTTGAAATGAGGTATTGTGGCACACCAGGTCATGGGAACTTTGGCATTATGAATGGGAGAAAAATTAAAATTGAATATGAAAATAATTGGTTCTTACCTCAATGGGATATCTAAGATTCAGGAGACCACGATGTTCCTACAAAACGCAGTGAAGACAAGAACCAGGGAATTGGGATGACAAACAAATTCCAAATTGGTTTCTGTACGAACTGTCACAAATAGCGTGTCACAATCGCCCACTCTACTCAATCACACTACCTGTAGAGTAGGTTTTCAGGATCTTACCTCAGCTTTTGGTCCGATGAATACATTGCCCTCGAGAGCACCTGCCATGACGCGGACATGTTTGGGGCCTCCAATACTGCGCACAGCCAACAGCAAAGCCTTTCTCAGTAATACTTCTACATGCAGGTCTGTTGAGAGGACACCCCGATACTCACAAGTTCGGAAAATTGCACTTTGGCACTTGATCACCTGCAAAACCAGCTTTGATGATTCCAGAGCCCTGTGAGGAGAAGACGAATGCTGGTTAGTCCACGACTGATCCCGAAGCATGTTGAGTCACCGAGGGAAGTTACATTGTCAATCACGACAGGCTGGTTGGCGATCAAGGAATCCATCCCTTCGTTTTCGAAATCGCCCTTACTTCAACATTCACAATCAATATTGAAAAATTCACAACCATTTTCAACACTCGAATTTTTCCTTCGATCGCGCGGATCGGAACAGCCTGCCAGATTTCCAATGAAGTAGTGAAATTACGACTCCAAGTCACAAGACCTGATCAGCACAACTGAACACGTAGACGTAGATGAGATCGGCAGTTCGAGTTGTGGGAGTGCATGACATTGTGCACAGCAGGGAGTCGCAAAAATATAACTCCCCTGTGTGCAGTTATGGACTCCCCATACACGGCCATGGGCCATGGACAAAGAACAGCCTCCCTGCAACACCCGCTGGTTTATCATCCACCTTCTTCTTTTCGGGAGTTTATAAACTACCTCCCTGAGTGATTACCACCCTCCACCCTAGTCCCGGTGTGCAGTGCCTACAACCGGCATGGCATAACCCGAGGCTACATGTAGATTCGTGAGTAAACCTCGGAGGCCAGCATATCGTGACCGGGAAGAGCAGGTGCTATTCTCAACCACTCAGTGGTACAGCGGAATCAGTGGATGAGTGTTCACTATTCCCTATATATAATTATACATGTAGAGGCTAATGAGTAATGGGAACCCGTGGTAGCAAAACATGGATTCATACCGTTACGGCCCGATTGTAATCTGAATTGGTATGACACCCGAATATTCGGATGGCAATCATGGAAGTGAGGGGGGGGGGGGGGGCATGGGGATTGGGGAAAGTAGAACACAGTCCAAATCCAAACTCATACTCATAGCGGCCACCACTGCGACTCCCTGCAGAGTATCAGGAAGATACTTTTATTCACCATGCTCATGGACTCGCAAGGCATGCACGGTCCATCGCCGCACCTATTTGTAAACACCCCACATGAAATGATCAGTTGGTATGTGCTTGCTGCTAAACTGTTGCACATCGTCATGGTGCTGCCTCAATCCAAATGGACACCACACATACGCACCATACATTTAATCCATACACGGGTGTGCATACATGTACCCTCGGCTACACACATTCACATGTACATGTATAGCATTACCAAGGAGTTGTAGCATCTCAGTATGCGCCGAGATCGATGACCGTGACAAGACGGGAGAAACGTGAAAGCCAACGGGTACTACATGGAGAGTGTAGCAGCATTGGCATCACGATATGCGACTGTCAAAAGTACATTTTGCGTATAGCCGTTTCAGTTAAAACTATACCTTTTAGCAGTAAAGAGCATACTAGAAGTCAACAAAGCCAGGGATTCTAGAGATCACGATCATTCCGAAGTACTCAGTGTAAGTTATCGGTGTAATTATACCAAAGGTCACATTTGAACTTCAAATCACTCCACCATCATGAAAATGTACATGTACGATGTGCAGCCATATCCGATAAAGAATTATCATTTATACCTGAATGGCATTATGCCATGTAAATACAATGTACATGTACAGCACATGCATGGACTTGCAATCAGTCTAAGTAAGACAACCGTGGCATAGGAGCCAAAACTTTCAGCAATGTGCATGATTGTGAAGTCTGTTTAAAAAAGTACTGACTGTCGTCATCCTCTGCTTTACTCAGCAGATACACTTGGCACTGACATTCAGTTTTGAGCAGTCACAGTGCTCACTTTGTTGAAATGCTTGGCAGTAATCCGACAGTGTCATACGTGCTCTTGATTTAAATAAGGAGCCAAATGTGGAGCAAAACGTGTATTGGACTAACAATGCATGGTACTGATGACTGCTGGACTTTTGGACGAGCATATTCCATGGAAAGCGTACTGGTTAGGAACCATGAGCCGACTCTCCTGTCTATTTCCAAGTCACAAGGTACAGTAAAGCGTTGTGGTGCTATGTTTGCATCATGTAGTGGACAAACTTGCACTGTGCAGGCAGTAAGATCCAAATGCATCCAGCCATGACTTGTAGGACTCGCTGGTAGAATGCAGATAGTAGTCACGACCCGGGGTGATGATCGTGAAGGCAAATGGCGTTTCTTCGTCGCCCTCGATGCCCTCAATAACGCCGTAGCCGGGACCACGCTGTAGCTCAAACTCTCCCTTCGGCACTGCATCCTGTAGACAGGAAACACAGACACACAGATAGACATACACACACAGACACACACACACACACACACACACACACACACACACACACACACACTACTACTACTACTACTATAGCATGACTGCCCATTGGGCAATGTCACCCCCGGAGGGGGCCAGAGTTTGGAGTGCACCGTCAGTGGCAGGACTTCTGGTGCCTCGTCAAATCTTGCTGTCGTCGGAAACGTTTCGGGCAATGCATGCAGATCAGCGGCAGTGATTCCCTATCGGCTGCAGCAAGACGTTTTCCACGGTTGCAGTTATGGCGGTTAAAACCAGCCCGGGACTTGAAGCAGCGATTGCAGCGTTGACAATGCTGGAAGCAGCAACTAGCGAGAGACGCCGTCAATGCCGTATCTGCATGTTCAGGGAGTGCAGGCTGGCAGCGATGAACTGCAAGCCCACCCTTACTACGGAACCATCGGCAGCAACTGACGCACTGTGCTGAACCACGCTGTTGGTGGACGGGAAGTTGGCGCTCAGCCAAACACTTGTGCCGTGCCTTGTCTTGAGGACGAGAGAAAGCCCGGTTGCAAGATGAGCAGAGTACG